GTTCTATTTCTGTTAGCTACATAAACATAAATATTCTAGCTTCTAACTTTAGTTACAACACACTTTGTGGGCACATCTTTCATCCTTTAGACGCTATAGACACAGTACCTTGAAACTACAAACTTTTTAAGAGCCTACAAAAAGTGCTTGCCACCTGAAAAAAGCATATGTGTTTGCTCTAGTGTATGGAAAAGAAAACTGAAAAACTGAAAATTAATAAATTAGTTAAATGTTTGTAAAACATTACACTTTGCTAACTTCAACCATGGTTAAATTTGTATTTATTCGAACATCAGTGATTTTTGAAAACATATTTTGGATAGATTTCCTTTTGCTGATAAATCATAGCCAACCATAACTTAATAAGTTGCTCAGAGCCAAATGTTTTCAAAAAAAATTATAAAAAGCCTTTCAAGTTTTTATAGCAAAAATTATTTTTAATGTGGGTTGTTGGTGCGTATTAATATTTTGAGGTGGGAATCTCAAAAAGGAAAAATGATTGGAGCTACTCATGTTATAAAGCACCTCTGTTTGTAAGTGGCTGATTTTATGCGCTTTAAAAAATAAACGTGTCGGTTTAAGTGAATTCTCACATTATGCTTATTGTTTAATCTTCTATCTCCTAATATACATTCTTCATTGCTTAATTAACGTTTTCTGTTTTTTATGAGGGTGCTTAATCCACAAACACACATGTACTGAGATTGGCTTCCTGATATGAAATGGATAATTTATAGATCTAGAAATGTTTGGGGAAGTGCAAACCCATTTCTAGCTGTTAAGGGCTGAAAACGATTCAGCTGGCTTTGATTAAAGTGAAGCTGAATCACAAAGCTAGAATTTGCCGATTATTTTGCCATGTAAAATGCAGACATTTTACACGGTTTTTCTTTTCACCAAGTTTATTGCTTTGATATAAAGAGCTGACTGGCATGTGAGGATGGGCTGTAATGTGGATGCTGCAGTGATACCTGAGCAGGGAGAGTGATGCAGTGTCCCAACCATCCCAGATCCCTTGACTTAAAATCCACCTCTCCTGTGAAACCCCACACCTGGATTAGGTGCCCTGCCTGCATGTTCCCATGGAATCTTCTAGTCCATCATCATAGCTCATTGTCATTTACTTTCAATTGTTGACTTTTCTCAAAACCGTCACCTCCTTGAAAAGAAACTGTCTTGTTCATCATTGTCTACCCAAAACCTAGCAAAATGCCCAGCACATAGTAGTTCTGCAAATATGTTTCAGTAATGTGACAAATGTGAGGCTTACAAGTAAAAAAAATCTTTCAAAGATAAATTTAAAGTGTGATTCAAAAGTTATAAAATAAAACTATGTGATGAAATTGTGAACTTTTTTAGGGTTAGGAAGAGATTTGGGGGGAAAAGGGCTTTGCTTATGTTTCTAAAATAATATTGAGCCTAACATCCTTTTAATTATAACCAGGTATAGCAAGTAAATTTTCATTTGGAATGAGGGAAACAAGAAACTCACAGTACCCTTAAGAACGCCTTTATTCTTGAGCTGTTATATGTAAAAATGTGCAGTCGTTCATGACATTCCATGAACGAAAGAGCTAGAGTAAAATGCACTGGAATGGATGCTACTGGTGCCCCGGTCAGAGCCCCTTTACCTGGCAGGTGTACTGCATCCCCCGGCTGCTGTGGGTTTGACTGCTAACAACTCAGTTACCTCTTCTACCAAGAACTACCCTTGGAACTGCCACCTTGGCTCCAGTCAATGACTAACTGATGTGGGTACATAAAACCTTGCGGTAGGTCAACCCTGAGGTGTAACTCACACTCCAGAGCTCCCCATGGGGTCAGACTGAAGCCAGTCTTAGCTAAATCCAATTCTAACCTAACCTCTTCGCCTGCCCTCTCCTGCCTCCTTCATACCTAAAAGCTTTCTCCCAAGAACACTCCCGCTATAAATCAAAGGAACAACAACCCAGTCTGCTTCTAGGAAACCACCCCTCAGATAGTCACTGAAATGAAATTTCAACTTCTGAGCTAGATAACTCCCGATCCCTTTCCTCCAGGCTTGTGGAGGGTTCAAGAGCAAAGACGGATAAGATTGGCATCCCCCACCCCCTCAGCCCACCCTGTGCTTTTCCGGACTAATTATACCTGAAATTCATATTTATTTATTCAACATGATAACCAGAGCACTTCTTCCAGGTGCCTCAATTTTATTCAAATTTAACTTTTTATTAGGACCTATTTTGTGCCAACCATGTACTAGGGAGGTGTTAGGAATGGAACGGTGAATAAGACATGATTTCTGCCCTCAAAAAAAAAAAATAAAAAAGAAACCTCAGCTTCTGAGGATGTGCTTTCGGTAGAACACAGAGTGAACAAATGTAGTCTCTTCTCTTGAATTGATCGCACAGAAGCAATAGCCTCTCGGCCAAATTTAGCTCCTGTATAAGAACGACATTTCATCCTCTTCGCTTCCAGATGATACACGCGTGGTGTCTGTAAATCAAGTGAATTCAAAACTGTTCTCTAGAGCATCCTTCCAGAGCCACGATGAAGGAGAGCGCTGACAGATCATTGCTTTGTAAACTCCATGATTGGGAGAGAGGAGTCAATGTATTATTTCCTGCAGGTCTTCCTTGGAATAATGCAGTTTTCTTTTCAGAGAGTATGACATGGCTTGCCTCCCTCTATGAATAAAATTGCCCTTGCTTGTTTCTGAAATTTTTTTTTTTTTTTTTTCTCTCTGGACACAGCCTTGTAAAGAGTCAGGGAGGGCTTCCTGCAGCAATGCTACACTTGTGACTGCTGGGCCGTGGTATGGGCTGTGTGTCATGTGTGGCCTTACACTCGAGTGTGTGTTTGCTTCCCCTCCGGTGCTGGAAGAGTTTTAAGGCAGGAAGCAAATGGTGTCCTTTGAAAAATGTCTTCTTAAATTATTGACTGTGTGCTCCGAGTCGCTTTTTTTCTTATGTGAACTTCATCTAGAAAATAATAGTAGATTTAAAAAAAATTTTTTTAATGGTAAGGCCTCCTAAGTTTTCTCACTGACCAGTTGAGGGAGTTGGGCTGGAGGAGTTCTAAGGTTCTGTTTTTCTTTCACATATTCTGATTTTTTTACACCCTCTTCCTGGATATGCTATATTTAAACTCCATGTAAGATAATTTCTTTCAACCCATGTCAGTATTAATTTTTGTTGTTTAGCTAGCAGATCCAAAGAAGGAGGTGTGTGTGTGTGTGTGTGTGTGTGTGTGTGTGTGTGTGTGTAATTTAATCTGTATCAGGGCCTATCACTGAAGCTTTCTGACTTAATAATATTTTTGAATGATAGAGAAAAAAAACACTAGCCTTTATATTAGTGTAGGATAACTGTTATAACAAAGACCCTAAAATCTCAGTGGTTTCAAGCAATTAAAAAAAATAAATGAAATAAAGTCTATTGTTTGGTCACAGCCAGTGCTGTCAACAGAATAGGCAGAGGAGTGGGGCTGTGGGGTGGAGCTAGTCTCTAATCCATACAGTCACTTAGGGACTCAAGGTCTTTCTGTCTTGGGACACTTTGATCTTCAACATGTGGGCCCTAAAGTTTTTAAAGAAGGGGAAAAGAAAATGGAGGATTACCCATAGGAAATTTTTATGAACCAGAAGTGGAATTGGCCGCTTTCCACGGGCCAGAACTCAGCCCCATGGCTCTAACAGAATTGCTGGAGCGGTAGGCTGGGAGATGTTACCTCATAATGTGCCCAGGCAGAAAAGGAAAACCATCAAGATTGGTGGGTTCTAGAATCCTCTGCCTTAGCTGGTTTTAAGACTTGCTAGTATTCGAGCTTGAGAGCATGATGAAAGGGCCTTGCTGACCATTGCTTTTCCTATCCTACCCCCTCTTCATGCTAATTTTCATTTCGTACCTTTTCTCCCAACTCACACCATTTCCTTTCATCCAGCCTCATCTTGACTCTCTTTTATTTGTTACCTTGACATAAGGAGACATAATGTGAATGTGGATGGGGACCCCTAAGGAGAAGGATTTTCATGAGCCAGATAAATGGAAAAGACAGCTCACTGGAAAAGTGGCACACATTTCAGAAAGGGAATTGGGAGAGGCAGCAAGGAAGCCAGGAGATGCTGGTTTGAGTTGACTTGAGATGAGAGTGGGTTATTCTAGTAGGGGACAAATCCCAAGATGAAAAGTCCATTTCTCCATGTAGTAGAAAGTAATGTCTTGAACAAAATTTTATAAACTTATTATAAAATTCAGATTGAAGATCCTCTCTCATGTTTTTAACTGCATTGGAAGGACCAGCACCCACAATTAAGAACTACAACCTTTTGAGAGTAAGTCACTCCAGCTGTTCTATTTTTTTTTTAACATTCACATAAAAATAACATGCACATACACACATTCAATAATTGAGGAAGATACTTTTATAAAGAACATCGTTTGCTTTCTGCCTTAAACTCTTCCATCATGGAATGGGAAGCAAATATGTACACACATTCAGTAAACCTGCTCAGCAGTCAAAACTGTATTATTACAGCAGGAAATCCCCCCAGATTTCCCCCAGGCAGCTCCTGAAGAGCTGTAGAGTTCCAGATATTGTAATACTCCTAATTTGTAATATAGATTCCTGTGACAGGGATTCCCTGCCCCAAACTCCCTTAGGTCCAGAAAGACACTAATTTGTCTTTTTGGCTGGTCATTCATGACCAGAATTGATCTCCCTTCTCACTTGTTATGCTTAGCTTAATAAAAAGCACTTTCTGGAAACAAGTTCCTGTTTATGTTTGTAAGTGGTATCTCTTACACCTAAAATTCTTACATAGGACAATGTCATAGAGCCAACAGACACCAAAGTCTTTGCCGAGAACAATTCCCATGAAGGGTATAAAAGCAGTGAATCCTTGGAAGTCCAGAGTAAATGACAGGACTTGCCCCCAGATATTAAATGGGATTAAGTGCACCTTTTCTGAAAGCCATGTAAAGCAACTGCATGGTTGATACACCATGTTTTTCTTCCCCCAGGGCTTTCCTGGAAAGGATGGATCCTCTGGCCCTCCAGGACCACCAGGGCCAATTGTAAGTATTTCCAGGAACTGCTGGGATATAGTACTGCTTTAAAGCAATTCATCTCTTTTGAGAGATTTTCTTCTGCCAAACCTTTCACCTTGGCGGCCATCTTTGCTATAGTGTAACAACTCATCCCTTGGTACAGAGCTTTTCCTAAAACATCCTTAAAAAATAATGTATCCATGTGGCTTGATTATTCTCCCTCTGAGCCACTTTGCCATAAGATCACCTGCATTGATTTACTTTTATTAGACACAGATAAGACTTGAATTATGTTTTCTTTTTAAATTTTTATTGGAGTAGAGTTGATTTACAATGTTGTGTTAGTTTCAGGTGTACAGCAAAGTGAATCAGTTACACGTATACATATGTCCCCTCTTCTTTAGATTCTTTTCCCATATAGGCCATTACAGAGTATTGAGTAGCATTCCCTGTGCTCTACAGTAGGTCCTTGTTGATTATCTATATTCTATATAGTAGTGTGTATATGTCACTACTATATATAAAAAAGGCTTGAATTTGAAAGAACTACATCTAACCGACAGAGTGGAGACTTTTCCAAAACTGTCTTCCTTACTTTTGTGGTACGTTAGTTGGAAACAGGAATGAGCGGGGAATCCTGAAGGCTTGGTGTTGGGCGGGGAGGTGAGGTTAACTGTGCATGTTTTTTGCTCTTTCTTGAGAGCTAGCTGTTTTCGATGAGAATGAGTGAGTCCTCACCTTTGCTCCATATTCCTGTCTATTAGGGCATTCCCGGAGCCCCTGGAGTCCCAGGAATCACAGGAAGCATGGGACCCCAAGGCGCCCTCGGACCACCTGTGAGTATGTGGCTGTAGCCAGTCAGGATGGTTGCCCAGTTATCCCTCTGGTTTCTTTATGTGTTTAAATTTACAGCATCTTTTTTGGTCAAAATGTTTTTTTCAGGACTGGATTCTGTGGGTATCCATAAGGAAAACAGAGAATCTCCTAGGATAAAGATTAAGATCAGACTGTCCGTATATCATGGCTAAAGACAAATGGTCCCAACAGGGAATAATCTGCAGCTAAGTTTCTGCTTATATATATTTCCATTGTTTGTTATTCTGTATTTGGCTAAGTCAACTCAATGCCATCTTTACAGGGACTGGGTACAATACTGTCTGTTAATTAGGCCTGTCTCCTGGGTGAGAAATACAAGGCTGGAGAAAGTCAAGGATTAGTGAAAATGGGAAGGGATTTTTCTTTTCTAAATTCTGAGAGAAAGACAGAATTTGCCATTAAAACACACACTCACACATTCGCGAATAGTGGTGTAAATGAAGGCCCAGTGAATGGAACTAATTACCTCCCATTTTTGTGCTTCTAATCTCTTAGGTTGGTGCTTAAATGTGATCAGTGGAGGGGGTAGGGGTAGGATGGAGGAGAAACAGATGAGCTTATCTGGGCCTGTTTCCTCATCTGCAAAATAAGGTTGTTGAAGGTACAGCCTCCAAAGGCACACTTGGCATCTTCTGTGACTTGCAAATTGTTCCTTCTGGGTGCAATTATTAGTCAGCCTTCTGATATTATCTGCGAGGTACCAAATCTGTATCCATAATCTAAAGCAATTGAGAAGTGTCAATGTATATACATTGCAGATGTGCTAAGGATTCATGGAACAGTGAAATCTGAAGGGTGAGGGTAGGAGAGGTTAATGAAATAGATTTCTACTCCATGCTGTAACAATTACCACAATCTCAGGGGCTTAAAACAAACAAAAATTTATTATCTTACAGTTCTGTAGGTCAGAAGCCTGATATAGTCTCACTGGGTTTTAAAATCAAGGTGTCAGCTTTTCCTTTCTGGAAGTTCTAGGGGAGAATCTATTTCCTTGCCTTCTCTAGCTTCTAAAGACTTCCCACCGTCCTTGGTTTGTGGCCCACTTTGAAGTCAGCAGTGTCGCATCTCTCTGACCATTTTTCCATAATCGTATCTCCCCTCAACATAGCCCAGAAAGTTTCTTTGCTTTGAATGATGTATGTGATTACATTTGGGCCACCCAGATAATCCTAGATAATCTCCCTACATTACTTCAAGATCCTAACTAAATCACACTTCAAAGTCCTTTTGCCACATTAAAGTAATATATTCACAAGTTCTGGGGATTAGGGCATGAACACTTCAGGGGCCTTTTTCTGCCTACCACACTGAAGAAGGCGTAACAGAAACACTGGTTCTCATTCAGAAAGAAACTCTCTCCCTCTAGCTACTCAGATAGTCACTCTTTATTCTTGAAACTCATTTCAATAAAATGATTTTGCCCTCAGGGTCCTATTATAGGCTGTGATTCACATGACACATATGCAGGTACACAAACACACATAAGACACGAACATAAAAAAATGCCTCCAGATTTTAGCAAACACATCCTAATTTGCATACTCAAATAAAGCTCTCCTTAGTTGTCATTTTACAAAGCCATATACTTATGGAAGATAAATACATTGTCATGGTGCAAAACCCTTTTAGATCCCCTCTTTTCATATCAAGTTGCTAATGGGTCACAGAAGAAAATTTGATTGCTTTATCCTCACACATCTTTTTCTATTATCTCTGCTACCAGGCTTCAGTCCACTTCCCAAAATGTGCTCCAGGAAACAAGAGTTCCAGAATATGTCAGCAGGGCTCAGAGACCAAGGGGTTCTGGGAAAGAAATCTCAGAGACAGTGTATACTAAATCTGTTTCTCAGAAAGTCATGACAAGTTTTAGGATAGCAAAGATTTTGAGGGACCTTAAGGTGAAACAAAAAACCAAAACACTGGTTTAACTTGGTTAGACAATAAACAAATGTATTTGTGCAGTTTCCCTTAACCCAAGCTGGGCTGACCCTAACCGCAGAGGGATGGAATGCGATAGGAAAGAACAGGCTCTAGGAGTACTTGGGAGAGAACAGTGGGGTGTGGGAGGAGTAGAGTGAGATATGAAATACATTAGGTAAGTAGGACCCCACCCTGCTTATCCATCTGGCCTTTTGTAGCTGTAGAATAGACTTTAGATATGGGGCATAGAAAAATAGCAATACATTTTTTCCTGGAAATAAAACACTTGTTAATAATATTATCTTCTGTTGTTATGAATCAACAGAAAAAGGCCAATGATGGTGGCATTTATAACAGAGACAGCACTGGGTATTCTCTCAAAAGCCAGTTCTCTGAACCATCCAGCCCAGACTTTTCCCTGCGCTTTGGGCTGGGAGGAGCCATATGCCTACTGGCTGCCAGACTGGCGTGTCTAGTAAAGTAGGCTCAGTGTCATGGTGTAAAGGCCTTGATTGATTTCCCATGGATGTCTGT